GGTGGGGGAGCCTTTGATGCTTTCCATGCACTCTCAGGGAAACTCACCTCAGTTTCATACTGTAGTTCAAACTCAGTATTGTCCTTACTGTCGTTCCTGAAGTAACCTTTCGCCAGCTCTGGGGATGCAGCAGCAATCTTGTTGGAGTCCACAGTCTCCCTATCAGTGGATCAAGTAGGTCTAGCGAGTGTCAGAACCAAAGTCATGGGCAGCAGCTAGGAAGAGTCTGTCCTAGGGAACATAAGCAACATACAGAGTAAAGGGGCAATCCAGAAGTCAAAGCTAAAATGACATTGGGTCATAATCTGCGAGCTCAAGTTGCTGAGCAAGCTAGAGGTCAGGTGCCTGCAGGTTGGAAGCTGAGGCTGCATGGAATCATCCATCCAGAACTAAAATTGTCAGAAGTTCAGAAACTGAGACTTTGCGCTCTTCCAATTCTGATTTTTGTTGTTTGTGAGTCTCTGTTGCTTCAATATTTTTTCCCTTTTCTGCACATGTTTTCCTCCCTCTAATGGTCAGTTCGATATTACATTGCTCTGAGTGCCAGTAGAAAATTAAAGCTAGAGGCAGGGTATTCTCCACCCCCACTAGGGGATTGGCAACCCTAGGTTGGCTGATGGGATGAAGTTTTTGGATTGGCCAAGTCTGATATAGATACTTTGAGCCCAGCCTTTTGCAGTTTCCTGATTGACAGAGCTGCCCTTCACACTCTAGTTTCTAGTTCAGGCCCGTAACTTCAGAGATGGCTAGAAAACGCATCCTGTGCACATGTGGTCTGCTCCAGACAGTTGACAGACCTTGTATACACACAGTGCCTCGGAGACAAACAGTTACTAGGCTAGCATCATCCAGGGCTATATGGAATTCTAACATGTGGACTTTGATGGGAAGAGAGTGTTCACAAGGCCTTGAGGAAGTTAGCAAGATACTGTCACATTAAAGATCTAACACAGTAGCATTATGTTGGCAGGAAGGATACCTCCCAAATGAGACAGGGAGGGATTGGTGCTGTAGAATTGCACTTGACAGGGTCATAGTCAATGCTCCCTCTAAGGTGTGGAGTCTTGTGAGCAAAAATTCTACTTTGTGAGCTGCCGGCATTAAAGTTGTGAGCGAGCGATTTGGCTACTGCATAAAATAGTTTGTTCTGGAGCCATCCTTCCTGAGCTAAAAGTGTGTGAGCTGGAGGCTAAAAAACTGTAAGCTAGCTCACACTAGCTCAGCTTAGAGGGAACACTGTTCATGGTCCTCTCTGAGATCCAAGAAAATTATAGTGACCCTGTAATTCCATCCATGGTGTTATGCCAACTCCTCCCGGAAATTCCTGGAGACCCAATCCGAGTTATCTACCTCAGGAAAGGGGGTTTGTGGCTGTGCGTAAGTTCTAATCCAGTTTATACAGAGGTCAGATGGTCGAAGGGGGAACGCTCGCTATTTGTGAGGGAGTCAGACAACACACTATTTGTTAAATCAATGTTGCCTTTACTAAATGGTTTCATCAGACATACAAAATCGGAAACATAAAAGATTCACAACAAGCTCCTTAGTTACAATAGTACATCAGAACAATTACAGCATAGAAAATAACAAAAGCATCAAATAAGGGGATGACACAATGGGGCACGGCTATACTTATCTGAGGTCCAAGCTGAAGAAGAAATCTCCTCCTTGGAAGGATGGGCAGCTAAAGCAGCAACTTGTGAACTCGGAAAACACACAGGCTGGGCCAGCCAAAGCCACGTGTGCGCTCCCTGGGTCGCGACTCCGGGGAACTTAGGTAGAGAGTCACTTGTAGCACCTTAGTGCACGCTATGGGGAAGGTGGGTTAACCAGAGAAACAAAGAAGAGTTTCTCCTTAAATAAACTCCTTTTTGGGGCTGTCTTTTCTAGCCATAAACTATCAAACCCGTCCTCTAAACTACCACTACTGGCTGAAGAGGGGGTAACGAGGGGGTGACGAGGGGGTTACGTTCTTTGAGGGGTGGTGGGCAATATGCAGATCCTACTCCTACATCAAAGGTGCCTTGTGGTGAGGTGTGAATCTTCCGTTCCCATGGCCACCTCTTGATTTGCAGATCTGGTGCTTGCTCCAAAGCCATAAATGCTATTGTCTTTAGATCCCAAGCCAGATTAGGAGAGTAGGGTTACATGCTCTTTCCCATTCCAGAAATGCTGGGGTTCGCTGGGGATTTTCCATAGCTCTCAGAGTGGGTGCAATGGCGCGGTGTCTTCTCTATCCCAGAGCATCACGGGATACATTCCAGGGAAGCACATGGTCCGTATGTGCAGCAGCAGCCCAAGGCCAGCCCATTTCTAGGCCTTCTTGTTCCTTTTCCTTTTTGTTATTATGAACTGCAACAACAGAGTCCCGTTTCTGTTTCACAATCTGATTTCCTAAGACCTGCAAAACTAGGGTTTTTCTGTGCATCATCAGCTTTGTTTAGATGATGAAAACTATGCCAGTAATTTGCCCTCCAGAACTGGGATGAGCACAGCAACATCTCAAAATAGGGATATTACAAAACCAGATTTTTACCCATCAAACATTGGTTCCAACAGTTCTAGAGCCAGGATCTCTTGTGGCAGAAGCTCTAACAAATTAGCCAGATTTTGCAGGTTCTAAAAACCTCACTCTTCCTGTCTGCCTTTGGCTCTCAGTCTGGTTTTGTGAATGGGAGAAACATGCTGGAGAGACACAGAGAGATATACTGCAATGATGCTGGGAGGGGACCTCTCCCTCTCCCCTCCTCCCTCTTCAGCTCGCAACCCAACCAGAGGACAACCCACCAGACACCCAGGCTGCCTGGTCTCAGGGGACGCACATGGAGGCCCTGCCCAGAATAGATCCCTCAGGGGTACCGGCGACAACCAGTCAGCCAGCCCATCCGAGGGTTCCCAGCGGGACCAGGGCTGCTTCCACCCCGACCTGCTCAAGGGGTCACGGCGGAGGAGTGGGCGGTCTCCTGCAGCAGCGATGGCCTGACAGGGAGGAAGAACGGTGGATCCCCATGGATGAGAAAACAGGGCAAAACAGCCCTATGACCAGCTTGCTGTGAGGAGGGAGGGGTGGAGTGAGAACCAGGAGGAGGGAATAAAGAGGAGGCGGTGACAGCAAACGGGGGAGGATCACACCTGAGGCTTATGCAGACAGAAAGCGACGTTGTGAAGAGGGCATTGGACCTCTGGAGGGGGTCGCTAGCAAGAGAGAGAGAGAGAGAGAAAATACCCTCAGGGGTCACCGCCCAAACACGGGCCCCTGGTTAGGGAAACGTCAGTGAGGTAACTGGCATGGAACCAGGTGTCTGAGGTTATGCTATTTATGCTAGACTCCGGCCTCCCTCACATTCCTGGTCCTGGGGCCTTGTCCGACCACTCCCTGAGCTCTGGCGAGATGGACCGAAACGTGACAAATGGGTAGACAATACTTCAGGAGAGGTGGCAAGTAGGATTGCCAGCTGAAAGTTGGAAAATCCCTGGAGATTTGGAGGCGGTGCTTGAGGAGGGCGGGGTTTGGGGAGGGGAGGGACTGTCAGCTAGCTGCCATTTTATCTGATGTTACCTGCTTCACATGCTTTGTGCTCCCCCCCCCCTTGGGTTTAGACTGCTTCATTATGCTTCTCTGTGTTTTGCGGAACTGGCCAAGGTCGTGCAGCTGGTGGGGGGGAGTCAGAGCTTCGCTATGCTTGTTATGGTTATCTACCCTGTGAACTGAACCTGTGTTGATGGTACTGGACTGTTACATTCCCATGGAATAGGCGCGCGTTTACGAGCTCTATTCCTGCCAGCGGGAACTGGCCTCATTGGCCCAACATGGTTCAAATCCCTTTTATATGCTACACTTGTGTAGCATATACAATGTTCTTGTTCCTGTCTGAACCATCGCTTTGAAATAAACCTTGCTTTGATTCAAACGTGGAGTTATTTCGAATGCCTGGGGATCCAACAGGGACCTCAGCCGGGTACAATGTCATTGCGTCCACACTCCAGAGTGGCCAGTTTCTCCAGGGGAACTGATCTGTGTAGTCTGGAGTTCAGTTGTCATCCCAGAAGATCTCCAGGCAGGCAAAGAATGAAGGGTTTCTAGTGTGCTATTCAACATGCAGAACATGATTACAGGGATTAGAAAAAGATCATTAATTATCTTGGATAGGTAATGTGGTGAATAGCTAAACGCTCTGTTGTGTTAAATAAGGGGGATGGGAGAATTAAAATCCAAAGAAGGGTCCCCAATTTCTGTACATGTATAGTTTATATATGAGTAGTATTTTTCCAAAACACGTTGTTTGGGAGTGGGGGTTATGGTGGCTTAGCAGGAAGTTGAGCTCAGTCTGTATTTAATTAATGAGTCGTTCAGACTTGGGGAACCAGGCCGTAGTGTAAGAAGGTCTATTGAAAAAGTTACTACAGTGGAAGAGAATAAGGTACCCTGATCATATGGCCCACATTGCCAGATTGAATCCCTTAGTACATGAAAATTAAGTCCACACATGCACACCTCTCTGATGTGCATGGATGGTCTTGTTCATGCATCATTTTCAAACACCAGGATCCATTACGTTGAGCACATGAAACTGCCTTATTCTGGTCCTTTGGTCCATCAAGGTCAGTACTGTCTACTCAGACTCCAGGGTCTCAGGCCTTTCTCCTTGCTGACCACCTGATATTTTTTAAACTGGAGATGCAGGGGACTGACCTGGGACCTTCTGCATGCCAAGCAGATGCTCTTCAACTGAGCCACAGCCCCTTCCCGTGTTATTAAATGTTGTGTCTGGTTGCAATACTGTCAACAGTGGATCATGCCACGCTGGTGTAAACCCTTGTAGTCTGGTGTAAGAATTTAAGAGCAGCTAGATACTGCCATCTATGGCGGACGGAAGCATCAGCCTGCCGCTGTGTGTGTATGTGTGTATATCTATTATCTATCATCATCATCTCCTAATTTTGGAAGTGGTTGCTTTGCAGAAATAACAATTACAGGACAAACAGAGTTTTCTGATTGCTTCAAGCAGTAATAGAGCTTTATTAGACAACCCTCAACAACACTAAAAGGCTGAGCGGTCAGCCATTCTGTGTAACAAAGTAAAGCAAGAGGACGTTCTGCTAGAAAGGGCATTAAAGAATGGGAGAAACTAGCAGGATGGGGAATTTGGGGAGCCGCTGCAATAGACTTCTGTGGGGAGATGGTGAAGTCAGGTAGCTGAAAAAGGGAATCCTGTCAGTTTTGTGGGTTTGCGTTGCAGGGAACGGCAGCGGCTGCACTCTTTCTTTATCAGCAGAACTACTTGTAGGGCTTGGGGTCAGAGCGTCTTCATACGGCAGCTGATTAATCCATGGATTTCCTTCCATGTCCTGTTGAAAGATAAGAGAAGAAGCCAAGTCATTGAATGCATGAATGCATGAATGCCAAGGATTTTAGCATGTCACAAAGTAGATTTCATACTGGCATGTCATGTTTGCTTTCAAACTTCCTAAATTTACCCAATTTTGCACCATTTTCTCAGAAAGCATTGTCTTATAATGCAATGGAAAACTATCTGCAAAAGAGTAAGGGAGCATGTCATCTCCAATTCCTCCTTCATCCAACATTTTCTTTAAGAGATTATTCCCATTCTAATCCCATTCAGAAGAAGGTGTCAAGAACTCTAAAAGTATGTGCAGGACTGTAAAAAGAATTTACAAGATAGCCTTGCTAAAATTTTATGGCCTTCCTCAATCATAATGAATTTCTTACATGGTGTTAAGAGATTCTGAGGCTTAAATCAAGAACCATATGGACTGAAGAGGGAACCAAGGAGAAGGTACTACTGTTTTCTCAAACTTTAGAAGCCTCTTTTGGCACAAGAGCAGGAACTAGCAGTTATTATGAAGCCTCTAGCTGTACCAGACCTGGTATAAATACTGGCCCCATTCACATGGAGTATTTGTCACGGGAGAGCGACGAGTGCATGGCGGATTATCCGGGCGTGATCACACCGCAACATCTGGGAAGTGAAGCGCACCCGTGGCAAACCTGTGGCGTACCACCGAAAATGCGCAATTAAAAACTACCTGCTCAGAGGTACTAGCAATCGGTTTGCCATGGGCTGCCTCTGGAGTCTGTTGGTGTGATCGCGCCGGCTGTGGCTTTTCCCTCCGGCCCCTCGTTGATGTGCAGGCACGGAGGGAAGGAACCGTAGCGTGCCGCCGACATGTGGGATCGCGTTATGGTGGCTCTAATTGCGGCGGTGCAAAAAGCCCCCCTCCCCCCCTCGTTATCCGGCCACTGTAAGTCTGGCCTGCTGGCTAGCAATGTTCAACAGCGTGTTATTATCTGCCCACAGCATTTCAGGTTCCAGCTTCCAGCTTTTTCTGCTCAAAATTTCAGCTGCAACTCCAGCAACTGACTTTAGAAACCCTAGGCCTGCAGTCCTGATTGGAATAGCCCCGGTTTGGCCTTAACGTATGATTAGAAATGTATAGAAAGGCACTGGTGAACTGTGCTCAGATGTTCACAGATGTTGACTGTAGGTACATGTACAGTGTTCATGTGCTCAGTGGTCATAGCTAATTTCTGTTTCTGGGAGCTTATGTACAAAGTCAGCTCGGCACAATTCCTGCACATACCCAAGGTTTGCACTTTTTCTCCCTACAGGGAGATGCTTTAATAAAGGAGCTTTGTCACAATTGGTACAACCTTTGGTCGTTAATTACCCCACTGTTTGAGAAAAGGAGGAATAACGGAAACCAACAAAACTGGGAGGGGGTGTGGAGTTGCGCTTGAGGCAGTTCTTTAGCCTTACCTGAGGAATGTGAACTGGAGTAGGACTGAGAACGTGAAGAACTAACGCCGCCACCTCCTCCAATTTGACTGCTTGACATTCCTCCACCAATTTGGCTACTTCCTCCAACTGGGCTGCATGATCTGCCGCCCATGCCTCCTCCACTGATGCCTCCTCCACTCATGCCTCCTCCGCTGATGCCTCCTCCGCTGATGCCGCCTCCACTCATGCCTCCTCCGCTCATGCCGCCTCCGCTCATGCCTCCTCCGCTCATGCCGCCTCCGCTCATACTGCCTCCGCTTATGCTTCCTCCTCCAATTCGGCCTCCTCCAATACTTCCTCCTCCGATGCCCATACTTCCTCCTCCCATACTGCCTCCACTGATGCCTCCTCCGACTATTCTGCCCCCTCCTCCCATGCTTCCTCCTCCCATGCTACCACCTCCGTATCCTCCTCCAGATGAAATTCCGTATCCTCCTCCAACAGACCCGCTGAAAAAGAAAAACAGAATCATAAATAGCACCACAAATCCATACATAGAAAAACAACACTATAGTAGAATATGCCTTGTTGATTAGGGTTGACAGTTGGGAAACACCTGGAGATTTTGGGGGTGGGGTCTGGGGAGGGCTAGGTTTGGGGAGGGGAAGGACCTCAGCAGGATATAATGCCATAGAGTCCACCCTCCAAAGCAGCCATTTTCATCAGGGGAACTGATCTTAATCATCTGGAAATCAATTGTAATACTGGGAGATGGCCAGGTGGTGAGGTTGGCAGCTCTACTTGTTGATTGAGCTTCACCTTCTAAACTTTGTCCATACCCAATATCTTCATTTAGTCTGGAATAAACCTCTGCCTGAGACCTTAGAGAGCTCAGGCTGTCTGTAGTAGACAGAATTGGGTTAGAAGGAGTGATAGTTGGAGTCAATATAAAATAAGTTCAGGTGGGTAGCCGTGTTGGTCTGAATCAATAGAACAAAGTTTGAGTCCAGTGGCACCTTTATAAAGTAGTATCATATGTTCACTAACCGACTCAATTTGTTACTTGTTTTCCTCCTTGATACCTAGCTGCAGTATGGTCCGTAAGGATATAAAGGAAACTCTAGCAAGTCTACTCATTGACATCTGTGATTGCAAATATTCAAGCAGCAGCATTTGTGGAGGTTCTTGGTTATCTTTGTGCTACCATACGTGGTTTGTTGCCAGGATGGACCCACTTATCTGACCTCCTGTCAACCTACATTTCTTGCTGTCCTTCCTCGAGCAGTCGGCGGTACTGAGCAATCTCCTGTTCCAGGCGTGTCTTGATGCCCAGGAGCAATTGGTACTCCTGGTTCTGGCTCTCGACCTCACACCGGATGCTGGCCAGTTCTGCTTCCACCGGCTCAATCAGGGTCTGAATCTGTTGCAGCTGCAGATTGTACCGGCGTTCTGTGTCTTCCAGACTGTTTTGCATAGACTGGATCTGAGATCAAGAAAGGAACTCATGAGGTAGGAGGCAAATGCAGGAAGCTGGGACGTTGTGCTGGGGAAGGAGATGAGAAGACAATCTTGGCCATTGCCAATGGGAAATAAGATGCAGTTTTCTGTGATTGCTTACCATGCTAAGCTGGGATTGCAGCTCGATCTCCAGCGTCTGATACTCCCGCCTCAAGTCTGAAACTTGCTGGCTGGTGCTGTCCATCTCGTGACCACTTGAAGTGACCTGTTGGCGAACCTCCTCCATCTAAAAGGCACAAATGAAGGCTGTGTGATTTGCAGGGTTACAGCAGATCTTGTGAAGAGAAAGAAGCTAAAACAATAGCCTTAAGGTTGGTCTGGAAAGACAGCAGGCAGAGATGAGTATCCTTTCCACCCGTACTTCTGTATCTAGGACCTTGCTACTGCTTACTTGGAGCCTTTGCTCGATGCCAGTCTACCCTTTCTTGAAGAAAGCCCTGACTTTTCAATTCTGAAACTGTAGCATCCGGACTGGTAACTGTTTAGCACTTGAGTTAAGCCTGGCCCTGTAAACCAGCCTTTCGAGTGTCAAACTAAGTCCCAGAAAAAAAGATATTTTGGGCATCCAGGAGAAATAGCATCTAACACAAAGTTCTATGCAAATGCATGTAATGAAACTCTGATGTCTGTCTGCTGAATAGCCACTGCTGAATAGCCACTGAAAAGCTATTCAAGGGAAGTTGATGCAGAGTGGAGAAGTGCAGGGTGAGTCGCTTAACTCTTCCCACCCTAAATTGCTTCCCCACTCCAAATTGCTCTCCTCAAACACATAACTTCCCCCCCCTGCAAAATTTCATATGTGAATAAACACACAATCAGAATCCTGTGCAAGGAAAAGCAGTCTAACATCTCATTTCCCACGCACACGCCGCTTCTCTGCTTTAAAAAGCCCCTCCCAGTGCATCTTTTAATCGGCCGCTTGGATTTCATTAACCTTTGTTTACAAGTTTAGCTAGGACTTGATGCAGAGATATTGGTAGCTACGGCCTCAGGGATGGAGAACAGAGGGGCTTGCCAGTAGAATACTCTGGTGAGGCGTCTTTGCCTCCCAGCAAACTGAGTCACTTAGAACCACCCTATCGCCCTATGATACCAACTAAAGTATTTTTTGCATAAATGACAAGGCCATTTTGCCTAGGAATGTTTTTTGCTTGAAACAAGGACTTTTTTTACAAATTGATCAGGGCTGCTTGCTAACCTAAAACGTCAAGGCTGAGCTGGTTTGAGGCTTGGGAAAAGGGATGGCTGTATAAAGTGGGATTGCCAGCTCCAGGTTGGGAAATACCTGGAGATTTGGCGGGGGGGGGAGCCTTAGGAGGGTGGGGTTTGGGGAGGGGAAGGACTTCAGTGGAGTATAATGCTATAGAGTCCACCTTTCAAAGCAGCCATTTTCTCCAAGGGAACTGGTCTCTGTTGCCTGGCGATCAGTTGTAATCCCAGGGAATCACCAGCCATTACCTGGAGGTTGGCAACCCTAGTGCAAAAGGATGAACTGGCTGGTGTCCCTGCTTCCCCTTTCCCTCCACCCTACCAAAACCAAAATCTGATATCTATTATTTCTGTGGACAGCATCAGACTATTTCTTGGAGTACTACATTTTCCTCTTCTTTTTCACCCATCCACAAAGAGAATACAGGCAAACACTCCATTTACCTTGGTTTCATACCAGCTTTCCACCTCTCTGCGGTTTTGATCAATGAGGTGTTCGTATTCAGCCCTGAGCTGATCAAGACGTTGTTTCAGATCCAGGCCAGGAGCAGCATTCACCTCCACACTGACATCGCCACCGGACTGGTGTTGCAGTCCTCTCAGGGCCTGCAAGAAGGGAAAGATAATATATCATGAAAGGAAAGCAACAAATACCATTTTTTTAAAAATACATTGCTAATGCATCTGACTATGAAACAATGGATGGGGGAAAGCAGAACATTAGAAGAGAAAACAGAATCTATAAGAAATAGATGCTTGCTTATTTCCAACCAAGTAGGGTTGCCAGGTCCCATTTGGCCACAGGAGGGGGATGGGGACAGGTTGCCAGAGCCAGGTTGGGAAACTCCTAGAGATTTGGGGATGGAGCCTGGGGAGGACAGGGACCTCAGTGGGGTACCATGTCATAGAGTCCAGCCTCCAAAGCATTCATTTTCTCCAGGGGAACTGATCTCTGTAGTCTGGAGGCTGGCATCCCTACAACCAAGGTTTCAGGATTCCAGCCCATTGTAGGTTCTGAACTCAGGAGAGTGTCGGGCATGGAATAAAAGTCTAGGCATTACTGCTCAGATTTGGCCAAAAGAGGGAATGGCAGGGAAATATCTGGTAACAGTGATTGGCCTGTGTGTGGCCCATGACATTATACTTCTTGGCCCCTGTAAAGCTTTCTGAGTTAGGCTTGTTCCTTTTTCCTTCACAGCAGATATTAATCTCCATAACTAAAAAAAATATTAATGTACACATTGGCCCTTTGAGTAGTGAGAGAATGAGGCTGGTGGAGGAGTTGTATCTTTACACTTGACCTTCTCAAGAAGAATTGAACCTGCAGTTGAAAACTATTACTTCCATTCATACAGTTTATTTGTGATCTTTACACAAAGATGCACCTTTTTTCAAAGAAGAAAGTTGCTTGGTACAAATTATGTCCAATGGGAACCCTGAAAGCATTTCTGTGCCTCTGGGCACAGAAGTATACTGATCCCAAATTGTGGGGAGGGGCTGTGGCTCAGTGGTAAAAGATTGGCTCGGCACACAGAAGGTCACAGGTTCAATCCCAAGCATCACCAGTTGAAACGGATCAGGTGATGTGAAGGACTTCAGCCTGAGCCCCCGGAGAGCTGCTGCAAACACTCACTTTGATGGACCAATGGTATAAGGCAGCTTCATGTGTTCATAATTGTTTGGAAGTTTATACCTCCACAGCAAGGAAATTCACAGGAGATTCAAAATACCGAATTTTTGTTCTGAAGCTCTTACCTCCTCGTGGTTCTTCTTGAGACTGATCAGTTCTTCTTTAAGAGACTCAAACTGCATCTCCAGATCAGACCTGCTGAGAGTCAGCTGATCCAAGAGAGGACGCAGTCCATTGATATCAGCCTCCACATTCTGACGGAGACCACTTTCGGTTTGGAACCTAACCCACGAAAAAAGGAAAGGAAGAACCATTACTGACAGTCTTCATAAACTGTTATTTCTGTTATATTACTGTGACTCTTATTTCACATATAATCATTTTTATGTATTATCAAAAGCGTTGATTCACATGACCTTTTCAGTATGTTAAAGTCAATACAAGTTGACTTGCCAGGGGCTCTATGAATATTCAGCTGACTTTCTGAATGCCCTGGCTTCAAGCTCCTGGTTCAATTTGCTTCTTGAAGATTTTTTCTGTTACACTCTGGATTGGTAGAGAAGCATCTGAAGACCATTGTACCCATCCATTGAAAAAATCCCTTTGATTTGACTTCCACTTATAAAACTGGCTGTGCTGGTTGCTTTTATTAAATTATTTAATGCCAGGTAGGCATAGGGAAACTTTTACTTTTGTATGTGAATATATAGATGCACTCACAATGCTGCTCAGTTCTAGTCTAATATATAATCTACTCTCTAAAGTATCATTCCTTTGTCTTGGAACTCACATGTAGCTGCACACACGTTTCTGTACATTGTAGACAACAACTTCCAGTTATCATCCACAGGAATCTTTTACTTTTGGTGGTCAGATGC